TATGAGGTACTTCATATGCAAAAAATGTTACTCGCCATAGTGTATTCAACAGAGCATAAAGATAGACATTGATCTTAATTATACCTGGGCACAAATCAGAGCTCTGCCACTTACTAAGATTGTCACTCTGACAAATAACTTAAATCTCTCTGAGCCTTAGTTTCCTCACTTATAAAAATAACTGGAGTTCTTACTTTGTAGGGTACCTGTGAGGATTCAGTAAGATTATGTATGTAAAGTTCTTAGCACAAATATTATTTTTCCTTCCCTAGATGATAGGAGGACATAGAATGGAATATGAAATTGTCTTTACTCTCAAAGAGTTTGCAGTCTAAGTGGAGAGTCTTGTGAACCGTTGCAAGGTAGAGTTAATAGCTATAATAGATGTGTAAAAATAGGTGTGCTATATCAATTGTATGAGTTCAGATAGAGAAAGTGCAGGAACCTAGATAATAGGTTTCTCTTCTAATATTAATGAAAGCCCATGAGAGAGTTATGTAACAGTGTTTGGAAAAATCAAATGTAATGGCTGGGGAAGAGATTTCAGTCCTCTATTGTCTATCCAGAGTGATGAGAAAGTGCAATTTGCCATAAGATAAAATGACTTTTAAGTGTGGTCATTAGCTAAAGTTCTTCTCAATTTAGTGATTCTGTAATGTCAGCCATTGCAAATCCATCTCTACTTGATTTATTGGTTTGGTTTTCTTTTGCTTTTAATTTTTTTATTTTTCATTTTTTGAGACCAAGTCTCACCCTGTCACCTAGGCTGAAGTACAGTGGTGCAATCTCGGCTCACTGCAACCTCTGCCTTCTAGGTTCAAGCGATTCTCCTGCCTCACCCTCCCAAGTAGCTGGGACTGCAGGCATGCACCACCATGCATAGCTAATTTTTGTATTTTTAGTTGAGACGGGTTTCACCATGTTGATCAGGCTAGTCTCGAACTCCTGAACTAAAGTGATCCACCTGCCTCGGCCTCCAAAAGTGCTGGGATTACAGGTATGAGGCACCATGCCTAGCCATGGTTTAGTTTTAGTATGCCTCTTTTTTTTTTCAGTTGGAGTCTCACTCTGTCACCCAGGCTGGAGTGCAGTGGCACGATCTCAGCTCACTGCAAGCTATGCACCTCCTGGGTTCACGCCGTTCTCCTGCCTCAGCCTCCCAAGTAGCTGGGACGACAGGTGCCTGCCACCACGTCCGGCTAATTTTTTGATTTTTAGTAGAGACAGGGTTTCACCGTGTTTAACAAGGATGGTCTCGATCTCCTGACCTCGTGGTCTGCCCGCCTCAGCCTCCCAAAGTGCTGGGATTACAGACCTCAGGTCAGCCACCGTGCCTGACCTAGTATGTCTTTTAAAAAGCAGCTTCCCTTCCCAAACTATCACTGCTATGGCAATTCACAGAAATACAGGTGATTAATAATGAAAGTGTCAGTTGGAAAGTGAGAGGTACTTTATATGTTGAACTTGCCAAAACTGACCCAAATACGACAAATAGAACAACCTTTCATCCAACCTTATTAATAAGTCCACCTCCAAATAGAGTTATGCCATTTAGTCTGTATCAGTGATTTTCAACCCTGGCTGTATATCCGAATTGCCTGTCAGGCTTTAAAAGAACAACCCAAATCCACTGAATCTGTGTATTTTGAAATAGAACTTTGACGTGTATGCAATTTTAAAAGCTCCATAGGTAATTCCAATGTGGAACAAGGGTTGATAATCACTTCTATGTGTAAGTCTTTGAAGCAGATTTTGTTTTAATGTCCTGTAATTTTTTAAAAATAAAATGGTAGGTTTTTATCCTTTGTTTTTTTCTTTTTCTTTTTTTTTTTTTTGGTTTGTGGGTTTTCTGGGGGAGAGGGTTGTAGGCCCTGCATTAAAAAGTCTTTGTGATATACCATAAAGTAGAACATTTCCTCTTAAAGACTGACAGGTTTATCATTATACTTATCACATTGTTCCATCTCAACGCTTCCTGAATAGATTGAAATGGGAAACTTTGTATTTATTTATTTATTAATGAATGAATGAATGAATGACAGATTCTTCCTCCATTGCCCAGGCTGGAGTGTAGAGGCATGAACATGGCTCACTGTAATCTCAACCTCCTGGGCTCAAGTGATCCTCCCACCTTAGCTTCCCAAGTAGCTGGGACCAGAGGTGTGTGTTGCCACACCTAATTTTTAAAATTTTTGTTTTGTAGAGACGGGGTCTGCCTATGTTGCCCAGGCTAATCTCAAACTCCTGGGCTCAAGTGATCCTTTCACCTTGGCCTCCCAAAGTGCTGGGATTACAGGCATGAGCCACCAGCCCTGGCTGAGAAACTTTATTTAGGGAAACATGTTTTAAGTCCACATAATAAATTTTGCAAATTAAAAGACAGCTAATATGCTTGTTGTGCAAAATTGGAAAATTCAAAGAAAATAAAGTATCTGAACTCCCTGCCCATTATCATTGTATTGCTGTATTTCCTTTCTTTTCAGGTATTTTTACATATGCTAACATGAACAGATACACAGACGTATATGTACCCAAAAAACATGGGCGATACACAGTATCATCTCTTTTTTTTTGGGAGATGCCTAGACTGGAGTGCAGTGGGTGTGATCTTGGCTCACCGCAACCTCCTCCACCTCCCGAGTTCAAGCGATTCTCCTGCCTCACCCTCCCGAGTGGCTGAGATTATGGGTGTACACACCATGCCTAGCTAATTTTTGTATTTTTAGTAGAGATGGGGTTTCACCATGTTAGCGAGGCTGGTCTCAAACTCCTGACCTCAGGTGATCCACCCACCTCGGCCTCCCAAAGTGCTGTGATTACAGGCATGAGCTACCGTGCCCGGCCCAGTATCATCTCATTTTTTGCCATGAGGACACTTCCCCACCCCGTTCCCCCCTCCCCACCCCGCCACATGTCTGAGGCAAGAAAACAAGCACTTTGTTTTTGTTGTTGTTGTTGTTGTTGAGATAGTCTCATTCTGTCGCCCAGGCTGGAGTGCAGTGGTGTGATCTTGGCTCACTGCAACCTCCGCCCTCCGAATTCAAGCGATTCTCCTACCTCAGCCTCCCGAGTAGCTGGTATTACAGGAACCTGCCACCGCGTGCTGCTAATTTTTTGTATTTTTAGTAGAGGCAGGGTTTCACCATCTTGGCCAGGCTGGTCTTGAACTCCTGACGTCATGATCCACCCACCTCAGCCTAACAAGCACTCATTTGTTTTTTTGTTCTTTTTTAAGAGGGTCTCACTCTGTCATCCAGACTGGAGTTCAGTGGCATGATCATGGGTCACTGAAGCTTCAACCTCCTCGACTTAGCTCAACCTCTCACCTCAGTTCCCAGAGTAGCTGGGACTATGGGCGTGCTCCTTTTAAACATTTTTTGTAGAGATAGGGTCTCACTGTGTTGCCCAGGCTGGCCTAGAACTCCTGACCTCAAGCAATCCTCCTACCCCTGTCTCCCAAAGTGGTGAAATTGCGGACATGAGTCACTGCTCCTGGCCAATGGGGACAATTTTTTTAAAAATAACATTCATCTGCTCTCATTTTTCTAATAAAACATTGCCATTTATTATATGGCTTTATTAGTGTTATCTTTGTTCCAAAAGTGTAGTATAGTGTCTCTAAAGAAGGTTAAGAGTTTGTGTCAGATCAACTGCATCAATAACCTATTTTGTATTTTATTTTAAGATGAAAACTTCCAAATGTATTCAAAAAGGGGATATGATATGTTGGAACAGCTGTACATTGTCTATCTAGATTCAACAACTTAACATTTTGCCATAGTTGCTTTGTTTTTCTTTCTGTATCTACTGTTTTTTTTCTTTTTTTGACTGAACCCTTTGAGAGCAAATTGCAGACATCATATTTTACCTGTAAACATTTAAGCATGCAGCTCTTAAGAATGAAGACATGTTTCAACCAGGCGCGGTAGCTCACACCTGTAATCCCACCACTTTGGGAGGCCAAGGCAGGCGGATCACCTGAGGTCGGGAGTTCAAGACCAGCCTGACCAATATGGAGAAACCCCATCTCTACTAAAAATACAAAATTAGCTGGGCGTGGTGGCACATGCCTGTAATCCCAGCTACTCGGGAGGCTGAGGCAGGAGAATCACTTAAATCTGCAAGGTGGAGGTTGCGGTGAGCCAAGATCACGCCATTGCCCTCCAGCCTGGGCAACAAGAGTGAAACTCCATCTCACAAAAAAAGAATGAAGATGTTTTTCTATATAACCATATACCATTATTATACCTAAGAAAATTAATTTTTTTAAATTTATTTGTAATTTTTGTGGGTACATTGTAGGTGTATAAAATAATAAATTTTATAATATCGAATATCAAGTTTAAATTTCCCTAGTTGTCCCCAGAATGACTATTGTAATTGTTATTTTGAATCCCAGTCTAATCAAGTTTATCAGTCAAGCACATTAAACAAGTCTTTAATCATCAAGCCCCTCAGCTGTTTTTTTCCCCTTGACACTGACTTTGAAGAGCCTGAGCCAGTTTTTTATAGTACGTTCTGCATTCTGAATTCATATGATTGTTTTCTCATGTTGTGCTGTAACTTGATCCTCTATTCACTTTTTCCCTGTAAACTGGGAATTAGCATTATTAGATTCATTCTAAACATTTTTTGGCACGAATACAGGACATGACTGTATAATGCATCATATCAAGAGGCACATAATGTAAGGGTATCTTGATTTTAGTCTGTCAGCTTAACTGTGATCAGCTTGGATGATTAGAGCTTGTTCTGTACAGTATTAAAGTAATTACTATTGTAGAAACCTGTAGATTTTCCAACATTTACTAAAATATGAAAGGATTGAGTAGTTTATTATTCATACTTAAAATACTTAATTTATTTTTATCTAGAGATGTTTTTATCAAAATAAGGGCAAAAAGTAAATACAATTTTTATCCGTGAAAACTCTAAAGTCTTTCAAAGATCTGTTTAAATCTATATAGTTTTATGTTTTGTATTTCCTACTTATCATTTAGCAGAAATGATGAAGAAATTGTTCTGATGGCTTGCTTTTCTGTCCTTTTCCTACTGCTTTAAACATTAATTTTCTTTTGTACTAAATCGTATAGCCAATTATTGTTTTTTTTTTAAGTAAGTCAGTTTTAGGAAATGCTTGTGTTGCTGTTGAATTATAAAAGCTGAGTAAATTTCAGATTAAATTTTAAATGACTGTGAAATAAGACATAAACTAGTTAATGGTAATTTGCTTAAAATGACTTGAGATTATAATTGGAAGTTTTTATTGATACAGGTAAGAATCGATATTTAATAAAATGTTCTCATGCTTAGACTATATTACTTTTCAGTAGAGAAATTAGTATTTTGCTGTAATGTGTTATGAAATACATGTAATATCCTAGTTTGTCTACTGACACTGGGGTCTTGAATCTTAAAAAAAGGCCTCCGAGGAAGCAGAGGAAAGTGGATCACAGGGAAAATTGGTGGAAGCTCTCAGGCAAATGAGAATTAATCATAGGGGAAACTACCGACAACTTCTGGAGGAGATGCTGACTAGTTACAGGCTAGCTAAAGTAGAGGGAGAAGAAAGCCCTGCTGAACCAGCTGCCACAGCTACTTCTTCGAACAGTGATGCTGGAAACCCAGTGACAATGCAGGAAAGCCATACTGAATCAGAAAGTGGTCTTGCTGAATTAGACAGCTCTAATGAAGATGCAGGGACAAAGATGAGTGGTGAAAAAATATGACTTTTCTTTTTGGTAATATTTTTGTGATCTTTGATGGTTTTTAACTTAGGAAGTGTAATGTATGCATTTATATAACCGTTTTGTTATTTGAATCTTGGAAAACTAGTTTTATTATATTCAGATAGCCTTGTTTTTTAAAAAGGCCTTTGCATACACCTTTATGAGATAGTGTAAAATTGACTATTTATATTAATGAAATTATATGTTATTTCACATTGTATGCCAGAAATTAGGATACCAATTATGAATTACAGTCAGTAGTTAATACTAGATAGGATTAGAAATTTTGATTAGAGAGATTACACTATATTATGGAAAAACTTGTTAATGTAGAATTATACTGCTTCATATTATTTTACCTATTAGTACACTCATAGTTAGCTTTGTAATAAATTTATGTTTTCTTTAATAATTTTAGTTCTTCAAAGAATGGCTGATGCTGGCCTGTAATTTTTCTTTCAAGGATAATAATTTGTGTGTTGTTTGATTTGTTTATATTTTACATCTCTGTAGTTTTATTTTTAGAAGTTGTGAGATACTGGATGTGTGGCTATTTTTCCTTTCTCTGTATTCTTTATGAAACATAACTTTTGAAAAACCTATGTATTATTCATACAGCTTTGGTTTGTATATTCTGTATAGCCTAACTACACACATCAAAATGTATGTCAACCAAGTGTTTAGAATGAAATTATAAGTGTTTAAGTCCAAATAAAGCATGTGATGTGGAATAATCTATGCATGTTGTACTTATTTTTGAATTAATTTTTTAAAAACAACCAAGTTTGGTATATTGGAAGAATACCCATTAGAAATTCATTTGTATTTATATAACATTTAGAACACTTTTGGCTTACCTTTTTTCATTAATTAAAAGGAAAGAAGTTTAATGTTAAAATATTTGTGTTACATACTTAAATCTATTCTTTTTCTTATCCATCTTTTGTGGTACAAAATATTAATCTTTGGAGATTATGGGCACACATAGACATGTGAGAAAATTGCCACAGTGAGCATTTTAAAGATTGCAGAATTGTCCATTTTGTTACAAATTTTTATTAGTTATTAATAAATGGAATAATTATGGGCTGTTTTTAAAATAGTGGCAGGTGAGAGTTTTTGTTTAAAGGGATTTTTAAATTATAGATTAGTCACATGGGGGAAATATTTTAAAAAATTTTTTATGACTGTAGAACATTAACTTTTCTTCTTTACATTTATATTTATATCATGTGTCTGAAGTTGCTTTAAGTTACCATAAATTGAAACTTTGGAATCTTTGGATGTTATAGCTGATGTTTTGATGTATTTTTCCAATGCCAGAATATTCTTAAGTGCTTTGAGAAAGGAAGGCATTTGATGGAGAGGGGAGGAAAATAACCCAACCCAGTTATCTATCTATATTAGATACACGTGTACACACACAATATACAATACACAACATCTCTCTGTAAAAGTACCCTTTTCAGACAAAGAAAGGAAGGTAACTTGTTCATCAATTTTGTTTTCTTTTGAAATTCAATCCAGTCTGGAAGTGGTATAGGTAAATAATAATATTCTTCCTTTTCTCTTCCTGTAGGGTGCTGGAGATCTAGAAGACCCATGGTAGCCTTAAAAACCTTCTAAAATGCTTTTGATTCTGAAAATTGGGGGAAAAAACTTTTAATCACAATTTTCTTCAATACAAGGGGAAAATATTCTTGCGGATTCCCAACGTTTTGTGATATGAGCAGAAAATCATTAGCATTTCCCATCATTTGTTCATATTTGTGTTTTCTGACAGTTGCCACTTGTAGCATTGCCTGTACTACAGTATTTTTTGCCAACCTCAGGCATACTCATTACATCTGTATTGAACTTTTGGCCCTAGAAACCAGTGGAGTTATTTCACCACAAATCAACAATGTGCCTGAGGTGCATGGGAAATATAGTTAGCTATACTCTGAAAATACATTATGTTTTTTTCTTTAAACAAAACACACAACATGTAAGCATGTAAGAGTAAAGAATTGTATGATATGTTCCTTTTTTCAGTTCACCAAGTTGGAAGCCTTTTGCAGCTCTGTGGCTTGGAATTTCATTTGAGCAATTTCTATAGGATATGTATTTATTATTGATTGTTATTTAATTTTTTTCCAATTTTACCTGTATTACCAAACTGGGTTCTCCAATAATGTCCAAATTGTAATGTTGCCTTGCTTCAAGATAAAGTGCATTTGGGAATAATATTATAAACCCTTACAAATTTTATGCATGTATCTACTGCATCCTTCAACTCTCCCTAGAAAATCTTTTGAAACCAAATGGATTAATTTATGGCTATTTATAATTTGCTTTGACATTTCACTGTTGGAAATTTTTTAAAGATGAGATTTGTCTTTATAATGTAAATTGTGATTTTTGTTTTACATGTGGGTTTCTATAGTTTTAATTTTTTCAGCTTTTAAGATACGAGTTTTGTGTAATTTGGTATTTTTAATCATTTATGTTATTTTAAAAGCTCAGAATATCACATTGAAATTACTATAAATACATTTAAAATTATCTATTTTAGATCTAAGGAAATATTACAGAGATATTTTCATGGGTTCAGTAACTTTTCATTTTATAACATTGGGCACGGTACAGAGTGGCTGTCACATAAGGTACTTGAAGATTTATTAGTTTAATTCTATTTTTACAGTAACCTTGAATTCTTCTGAGTTTTGCATGTATTAAATTCAATTAATGCTGAATATGAAGAGTAAAGTATTTATCTGAAAGAAGTTACTGGGTTAGGAGAAGTAACGAATGTATCCGTTTGTACATGGTTTACATGTTGTGGATGCTTTGTAAACATTTTCCTATATGTTTAAATTGTGTTTCAGCAGGATGTAATTGCCCTTGTGTATAGTTAAAATGAGTCATCATCTGGTCCTGTGTGAAATGGAATTCATGGTATTTTCTGTAACATTTTCCTGAAGCTGTTTCTGGAGAGCCACACGTTTAAATACAGACAGCTTTCCTGATCATTTGATTTCTTGTGCACCTGATTTTTGGTTTAAAAGGAATTATTGCCACAATATATTTTATTTATTCTTTAGATTTTAGCCTTGTAAGTTAAAGTGCTTTACATGATGATGTGAAAAGCTGTTTGTCCCTTTACTGGGTTTGGGGGGTTGTTAAAAGATAGGGAATGAAGAATGCAAAATGGTTTATTGTTCAAACTGTCCACTCTGATCCAACCCTGTACTGATAGTACTTTCCAGTATGATATTGTGATGTTTCATACAATGCAGTGAACATAACCAACTTGTTACCTAAATAAAGAATTGATAAAAACAGTGTGACATATTACTATTTGGTATGATTCAGTTTTTAATGTTATTTTAAACTTCTTATGTGGTTGGCATACTTGTGAAAATTTAATTCCAAATAGGAATTATCCAAACTGTACAGGACAATATTAACCCCTTCTCTACTCCAGAAATATTTATACTCCTTTTTGAAAAACTTGCCTTTGGCCAGGTGCGTTGGCTCTCGCCTGTAATCGTAGCACTTTGGGAGACCAAGGCGGGTGGATCACAAGGTCAAGAGATCGAGACCGTCCTGGCCAACATGATGAAACCCCGTGTCCACTAAAAATAGAAAAATTAGCTGGGCGTGGTGGTGCGTGCCTGTTAATCCCAGCTACTCGGGAGGCTGAGGCGGGAGAATTGCTTGAACCCAGGAGGCAGAGGTTGCAGTGAGCCACGATCGCGCCACTGCACTGCAGCCTGGGGACAGGGCGAGACTCCGTCTCAAAAAAAATAAAAAATAAAAAATAAAAAAATAAAACCTTTTTCATTGGGGGTTACTGGTGCTTGAAATAGAAATAATGTATGAGTTAGTAAAAGAAAAACCGATGTTCAGTGTTTACTCATCTGAATTTCCTAGCCTGGGTATTCTCAAGTATTTTGGTCTCAGGACCCATTTATACTCTTACAAATTGTATATTCCAATGAACTTTTGCTTTTGTGGGTACTATTGATATTTACTATATTAGAAATTAAAACTGAGAAATTATACATACTGTTTTAATTTGTTAAATAAAATGATTACATGTTAACATAAACTATTTTATGAAAAATAATTGTCTTATAAGTTAAGATACAAAAATGCAGTGTAAAAAGAAGGACCAGTTTTCATTTTTGTGAGCCTTTAATATTGGGCTGAATTCTTGTTTGTGCTTCTGCGTTCAGTCTGCTACAGTGTGGTGCGGCCCGATGGTTGAAGTATATGAAGAAACCTGGCCTCACACAGATAGGTAGCTGGAAAACAGGAGTATTTTGGTAACTTCAGATAATTGTAGATATCAAAACTTGACAACCGATAGTTTCTTGAAGGTTGGTTGCAATGTGAAATCGGAAAGTTTATTAGAGGACTTTTCTTAGTTTGTTATGTTAAAATCCACTGGGTCTGTCTTGCATTTTGAATGGACCTTCTGGCTATGCATGATTTTGTCACATCATGAATTGGTCATTTGGAAAGTACTGGTTCACTGAATTATGCAGTTCTTCTAAATATGAATCCATTATTCTGCAGTGATTAAAGTTTTTTGTTAAGGGTGGGCATGGTGGCTCATGTTTGTAATCCCAGCAGTTTGGGAGGCTGAGGCAGGCAGATACCTGAGCTCGGGAGTTTGAGACCAGCCTGACCAACATGGAGAAACCCTGTCTCTACTAAAAATACAAAATGAGCCAGGCGTGGTGGTGCATGCCTATAATCCCAGCTACTCGGGAGGCTGAGGCAGAAGAATTGCTTGAACCCAGGTGACGGAGGTTGCAGTGAGATGAGATCGTGCCATTGCACTCCAGCCTGGGCAACAAGAGCGAAACTCCGTCTCAGAAAAGAAAAGACCGCTTAGCTGAATGTTGTGGTAGCTTGTGCCTGTAATCCCAGAGGCTAAAGCAGGAGGAATGCTTGAGGCCAGGAGTTTGAGACCCACCTGGGCAATACAGCAAGACCTGGTTTCTACACACACACAAAGTTTAAGTACTCTAGCATGGTGTCACATGCCTATAGTCCCAGCTACTTGGGAAACTGAGGCAGGAGGATTGCTTGAATTCAGGAGTTCAAGGCTGCAGTGAGCTGTGATCCAGCCACTGCACAGCAGCCTGGGCAACAGCAAGACTCCATCTCGAATTTTAAATATATGTCCCTTTTATATTGAAAAATTATCTTAAATTTTAAAATAACATTGTGAAGGAATAAACAATCTAAGCAACAAATGCTTCCAAGCTGCTTCACCGTTAGTTTATTAACCTGAATAGAATTTACCACCAAGAGTCGTATTTCTTAATGCTAAAGTAGAAATCCATTGGGAGTTGCATTGTCACTGAAAAAAATTGTAATGAAGGCCGGGCGCAGTGGCTCACACCTGTAATCCCAGCACTTTGGCAGGCCAAGGCGGGCAGATCACTTGAGGTCAACGGTTCAAAATCAGCCTGGCTAAAATGGTGAAACCTATCTCTACTGAAAAAAAAAAAAAAAGTAGCTTGGTGTGGTGCTGCGTGCCTATAGTCCCAGCTAGTCGGGAGCTGGAGGCAGGAGAATCGCTTGAACCTGGGAAGTGGAGGTTGCAGTGAGCCAAGATCGCGCCACTGCACTCCAGCCTGGGCGACAGAGGGAGAACCCGTCTCAAAAAAAGTTATAATGAACTGGTCTCCCTATATGAAAATAATGGCACTGCCTTGCCAGTTGTCATTCTTCTTTCTATCTAGGCTTTAAAATGGTTTTTAATAACAGGAGAAATAGTGTTAGTTGGGGAAAAAAATGTTTCTGTAATCATATTAGCCTTACATCTGAGTCAGGAATTACAGCCTCATTAGTTTACTTGTCAAACTGCCTGATATATTTTCCAAAACCTTGGAAAATGCACAAACCAGAGCAATATATGGTGCCCGAGTCTTTATCCAACTTCAATACTTGAAATTAACCTGAACATGTCCATCAAATATCTTTTGCTGGCCAAATATTATTCTTCCTTGTCTTGAATTTAAGGTTATATTTTTTAAATGACATCTCACACTGACATTTCCTCTTCCAAATTGTCTTCATTTGTGTTTTGAAGTTCATCTGGTATAAGTATTAAGGGAAAACGTGATAAGATTTCTTGTGGAACACGCTTTGAGAAGCTAAACAGTATTTAGTGAAAAATAGCAAATTGTGATGTTTTTCACATATTAGAAAATTCCTAGTTGTGCAAAAAATCCATTGTATATGTAAAATAGTCAAATGCTGACATAATTGTTAAGATGAATTCAAGCGATGATTTAATTTCAAAGCAATTCTGAAGTTACTTTTTAAATTCTGTATTAGAAAATGCACTTAAATGAAGTTACTTGCTTTTAGTTCATAATGGGCATTATAACAGTTTGCACTCTTGTTTTTATGCTAAATTGCTTTTAAGTTTTTTTCTATTCAACTTTGGGAGTTATTTTGTGAACCCTAAAGAAAATGCTAAACAAGTGTTTGTGTTTGCCCATTGTTTTGATGATTTGTGTATGTTACATTATGGTCTAGAAGTAATAAGTGTAGCTACTAATAGAGAATACATTGCTTTTCAGGCAGCATCACCGCCATTTCTCACTTCCTGCTGGCTTTTCTGGCTGTGGTATTTTCTCCCCCTTATTTTCTGTTTCCGTTTTATTTTGCCTGCAAACACCTCTAACTAGCATACTGTTTTGTGCTCAGATATAACTGGTGGATATGCTCTTCTAATTCGGAGGTGAGGGGCACTTAGTGTTAGAAAGTTAGTATTTCTGTTATCTCATAAGTATCCACAACTCCAGTGGGACACAAAAGAGCCAGACCTTTTATGTAAGGGTAGAATGAAAGATTGGACTTTACTTCTTTTTCTTAATTAATAAGCCTAGTCTATAATATTGGCAACAGTGTGTTTTTAATGAATAAATCTGTACAACAAATGTATTCTTTCCATGTAACATTCACCTATCATGAAAATAGTTTTGCATTTGAGATGAAGAGGACCAGTACCACCCAGGAGTTATTCTAATAGTGGGTCTGATACCTTCTTTCCCTCTCCTGAGTCGTTTACACTTACTTTTTTGGGCAGTGATTATGAAGAGGTGGTTTTGCTTCATTCCTAAGTCTTGAAGTTATGAAATGCAATTTATTATTTATTATTTGAGATGGAGTTTCACGTTTGTTGCCCAGGCTGGAGTGCAATGGCATGATCTCGGCTCACTGCAACCTCCACCTCCTGGGTTCAAGCAATTCTTCTGCCTCAGCCTCATGAGTAGTTGGGATTACAGGTGTCTGCCACCATGCCCAGCTAATTTTTTTGTATTTTTAGTAGAGATGGGATTTCACCCTGTTGGCCAGCCTGGTCGAACTCCTGACCTCAGGTGATCTGCCCGCCTTGGCCTCCCAAAGTGCTGGGATTACAGGCGTGAGCCACCGCGCCCAGCCCGAAATGCAATTTATCTTAACAAAATTCCACAGTAACATGATATAGAGCACCATGGGGTTTATTTTCATGAGATTTTGCCTATGAATAATCATAATAAATTGATACAGTATAAAGCTTATTTAAAATATTTAATATTTGCTATTAAAATTGTACTTAAGACTGCTTATAATTGATATGGCACTTTGGTTCTACTGAAGTATACTCTTTTTTTTTTTTTTTTTTTTTT